ACTGAGCAATCCTGGCTCACGCTGGTCCAGGACCCCTGCGCCTCTGCATTTTAAATGTAGTAAGAGCTGCCCAGCTCTTATTACATTTAAAATGCAGAGCTGCAGCATGGGTTGCTCCCGGAGACATTCTGTGGATCTGCAGTGGCGGGGGGGGGGGGGGGGGGGCAGAATGGCCCCAGTGCTCCCAGCAGTGTAGCACCAAAAGGGAGGGAAAAGTGCACAGTTGACCTGTGGATCTACTTGCCAGAGGAGGTTGTGAAGACCAGGACTTGAACAGAGTTCAAAGAAGAGCTAGAATAATTCATAGAGGTTAGGTCCATCAATGGCTATTAGCCAGGAAGGGAAGGAATGGTGTCCCTAGCTTCTGTTTGTCGGGGCTGGAAATGGTTGATAGGAGAGGAATCACTTTTACTACCTGTTGTGTTCCTCTTTCTGGGGAATCTGGTGTTGGCCACTGTCTGCAGGCAGGAGACTGAGCTAGATGGACCTTTGGTCTGACCCAGTATGGCTGTTCTCATCGTAGGAAATGCTGCTTGAGTACCCCTCTGCCTCTGTGTTCCCCGCAGCATATTCGCCTTTGAAATGTAGCAACAGTCCTTGGGCTTTTGCTACTCTTCAAAGGCAGAGGCGCCCTCATTGACACAAATTGCATTGACTATTCCATTAGCCAATTAATCTAAATTTAACATCCCTAATGCATGTCTGTTTTGTCCACCTACTTTTTGTTCTTTAGGAAGACCCTTCCCCTCCTCATTCAGTTTGCTTTTCATTTTGCTTTAAACTAACCACTGTCTGTTCATTGATAAGCATAACAACAGGTATTGTTGTTCATAGTTGAGTTTGTATAGTGAGAACTAGCTTTTTAAAATGTAATATTGTTTTACACGCTCGAGTCAGGTTGCAGCTTTGTTTTGAGAAGCAAAAACTCTGCTCCATTGAGCATGTACAGTATCTTGTATAATGCTTAAATTCAGGTTAGGCTTGGTTTCATTTAGATCCTGAAAATATATTCCTCTGCATGCTCTCTCCTGAAAAAAGAGGTTTGTGCATTCATAATTCTGTACTACTTACATTTGTATCTTTAAAACTATTGAACTGATTTTATTCACATTTGGGTTGACTTCAGCACATGAGATCACAAAGCAAGTTAAGTTTCAGGGTGAGTAATCAGAATGTCATTGATTAGAATGTATGAGCAAAGTACATGATATTTCTTTTGTTTTGGTTTTGGTTAACTCCAAAGGTTAAATTACTTCTGCTTGGACTTTCATAGAAAAATAACATTTGGATGAAAGCCAAACATGGAACATTTCAGCCTCAAAAGAATTGTTCAAGGAAGTTGAGTGCCGGGGTAAAGTAATGGGCAAAGAATGTTTGAAAAGTTAATAATTTAATGTTTACCTTCTGACACTGTATGACATCAACCATGTGATTGCATTTGTTTACTTTTTGTCATGGATCCTATTTTAGTTGCAATGTGTTCATAAGATATGCAGCTCTATGCACAAGTTGATCAGTGGCTATGCCTTGTGTCTCATTATGGGGAAGGTGATCTGTCAATCAATGTGTTTTCTTCTTTCAGGAAGATCTAGCAATGATGAAGTGTAGTTCAATTCAACAGAGTCCTGTTCAGGTTCTTAATTGTTTTTTATTAGAGGAAAATAAAGTAAGCATAAACATTCCATGAACTAGTATTAATGAACATCGCTAGACAGGCTAAAAAGTTTCTAGTCTTGCACTTCATCAAAATCTTATACAGATTTTGTTTTGATCTCAGCCATCAGTGTCCAGCTACCAGTATAGTTGATCTGATGATTTGCTGCTGCTTAACACAGATTAAAATGAGCATATGGTGAATTGGTGACAATTACAGCTTTTGATCTTTATCCTGTTCACATTAGGTGAAGACTGTGAAGCTGCAATGGTTGCTGGCCACCAAAGGTTGAGAGTCAAATCCATATTATAGACAAGGCCTCAATATAAAGTCACTTATAATACCTGTCACATGGGTGTTGGCATCTGATTTTATATTTTATAGCAATTTAAATTTTTTTTGTTCTCCCAATTCATCCTATATCAAGGCAGTGACAGAAGAGTTGTTACACATTACATCACCTTCCCTCCTCCCCCCCAGTAGTTTTTGAATATTTGAAATGATTTTCAGAAATGCTGAGTAACCACAGATCCCACTTACATTAGTGAAATTTGTGGGTGCAAGATAGCTGCTAGGCTAGACCACATTATAGGAATCATTGTTGAGTACAGTGTTTAGCTGCCATGTTGTGATGGAAAGAAATTGAGTCTGTTCCAAGACTGATCGATTTGAAAATAGCTTAAAAGGCAGAAAAGTTAGTGGATAAAATAGAATGTAGTTTAATGATATGCTAGAAAGGGTTAACAAGAATATTAAGCTTCCATGAGTCTTGCTGGTGATGTCTGTCTTTGGCTTGATCTCTGGTTTTCTCATCCTCTGCTTATGGCCAGGATAGAGGAAGAGACCCTTGAAAGGCATTGTGCATTGATATCTATGTGCGTATTCCATATGCTTCCTCAAAAGAAGAAGGGGAAGCCATCTGGGAGGTTAGTAGCTTGGCCAGGAGTGGAGCCAGGCTGGGGGGGCAGAAATGATCTCTCCAGGTCCAGCAAAATCCCTTGTCCCAAGGGTTCAAAACCAGGGAGGTCCAACCTGTACAGTCAGCTTAAACAACCAGCTGCTGTGTACCGTATGTATCTGATAAGCATCAGGTCTTTTGAGTACCAGTGATGGCAGTTATTGGCAAGGAAAGGAGGTTGTTCCCAATACTATTATTGAAACCTGCCGAAGTATTACCAAAGACTTTAGCAACATCTGCTTATTGTGAATATTTACTGCTATCTGCCTCCGACCCCAGATATGGCAAAATGTTCTTTACTGTGTTGCTTTAGGTGTAATACTGTTTGTGCTACAGTGAACAAGAGCTTTGAAGGGACTAGTTTTTGATGTATGTTTGAAAGTTGATTCCACATGGCAATGAACTGATAGAAAACACAACTGTTTGGAAAGCAACAGGATCTTGAAGGTTGTTGCTGTTGTACAGATGCATCCAATGTGCAGAACATTTGCATAAGGCTCCTTACTTGCATTCTGTTCTCTCTCCCTTCCTTCATCCACTGTGATACTGGACTTGCCATTGTTGAGCTGTCATGGGATACTCTAGCAGTTTGTCTCACAGAATCATGCAACAGCCCAGCACCATTGGTTTTCTCGATTAAATCTAGGGTTGCCAGGTGTCTGGTTTTGAACCGGACAGTCGAGTATTTGAGCTTTCTGTTCGGGAAACAAATTGAAAAAATATAAATAAGATGTAATGTAGATTGTGATGTAATGTCAAGCATGTCCGGTATTTTTGTTGAAACCATCTGGCAACCCTAATTAATTGCTTACCATATCACAATTGAAATCTAGCTATACCACTTTCCTTTATGGTTTCTTCTGAGTGCATCTCTTCTGATATGGGCGTTGTTTCCTTTTCCTTCTAGGTCTGCAATTCCTAGTACTCTTGTACTAGGCCCAGAGCTGCAATCCAGTGTGTGCCAGGAGACGAAAGTTGTTGAGCAAAAAAAGAAAAAGCGGGAGAACAAAAAGGTCGCTGCACCTTTAAGAATCCCCGTGCTCCTCGCTCCCTCCTGTCCCTCAGACGAGGCAGGAGAAGAATGTCCCTACCGGCCTTCCATCCAAGAAAAACAGAAAATACCAGACATTTTACGTGTCCAGTATTTTCTGTTTTTTTTGTTTTGTTTTGTTTGTTTGTTTTTTTTAAACTGGCCAGGGGCTGGAAATAATGGACTGTCTATGCACAGACACTTGGCAACCCTAGGGGTTTAGATTTGTTTGTATTTAATTTCCTGCAGAAAGGAAATTTGGCGGGGGGGAACCCAACTATTTTTTTTTTTTGTATGTCCCCCTGACACCAAATAAGAAAGAAGTCAGATGCTTCTGGCTCCTGGGGATTCTTCACCCTCCAGAAACCTGAAAAGTCTCCTGCTATGAAGCATAGAGTCTAGCAGCCATGAGAATCCCATCTCCAGCTGCAGCTTTCAGACCTATCAGGCTCTGTGCTATGAAGCCCAGACCTTTACAGCCCCTTTTAGAGCCAGAGCATCCTGGCTCTGTGGCAGGGAGCTGGAAGCCCCGGGGTCTCCAGAAGGTAAGCTGGTGGGAAACAATGGAGGCTTCTGCCAAAGCACTCTCTGTATTTCATTTAGAGTTAGGAGAAATCAAACTGCAATGCTTTAGTTTTAATGAATTGGCATTTTCAGATGAAAACATGTTTTGGGAAGAGTCCTGATCAGCTCTGGCTATGACTCTTAATTGCAAACCACTTATTTTTTAGGTAATCCTGGAGTTGAGTTCTCCTAAGTGCTTGGCTGCATTAGTGAGGGGAAGCCTGGGGAGCACTGAGATGGAACTTGTTGCTGTCTTTCCTCTATTAGCTTTACTTTTTTTACACTTAACTATGTTAACCAGAACTAAAAAATGTAACCGAAGAGACACAACCTAGCTTGACCAGGAACTGAAATATTTCAGAATTAGAAAAGATATATGATCAGAATGACAACTGTACTCCTCTCAATAAAACCAGAAGTTACTGACAGTACCCAATTGAAATTTAGACTCCATTGCATAGTACAAATAATGTGGTGAGTAGGCATATTTTAGATGATTTGCATGTGTGGGTTCTCTGACAGTGAGGTGTAAAAAATTGTGAACTGTTTGACCTTGTAAGATGGAACTGGTGGAGTTAATATTTTCTGGGTAATGTTGACAATATTTGAAGTGTTGTCCAGATTTAATTGCCTAATAACCTTTTCCCACAACTATGACTCTGCTCTTTCGTTGAAGTGACACTATCAACATCAAAATTTGCACCTCGTTGTAACATGTATGATTGCTGCCCCATAGGTTCTGATCTTTTAATCAAGCGGGTACATCCTTGTGATCTGTGAAGTCAACTAAATTCTGCAGGTTTTATCTGCGGCCCATGTGAGTCTGCAGGATAAGGGCCTCAGATTGTAAATTCTCAAGAATAGGGAGAGTATCTTTCATTTTGTGTTGCAAATACAGGAGGCTGTCAACTTGCAACGCTTGTAAGCGTCGCAATTCGTGGTGTCATAACTCGAACCCTCATTTATGATAGATGCTGTGTGCTATCATAAACGCTGGCCAGGGATGTAAGTCAGGGGTTTTAGGCCCCTTCTGTGCTTACAAGAATGGTTGTAAGTGTAGGGGATCAGAACTCGGGTGGTCGCAAGTTGGGGCCTCTTGTACGTTGAGGCACTGATCTTCAGTAGGACCAATAAGCACTATGGTAATATAAGTATTTGGCACTGAAAGAGACTATGATAAAAGTATTTCTGCTCTGTATAGTCAGTTTTCCTGCTTGCATAGATCTTTTACTCAATAGGACAGAAGCGTATTTCCCCCAAACAATCAGATTGTTAAAGTTCCCAAACATTTGTCATGGGTAGGGCTCGACAAACCGCGGCAAAATCCACTCGCCAGCCCTGCACCGCGCATGCACCACACCTGCACTGCACATGTGAGCATGGCTGAAATCTACTCGCCACAGGTGAGTAGATACACAGATTTGTCGAGCCCTGGTCATGGGGATGCAAATATTTGGGCTTAAATTCCCTAGGTGGGTTGTTTTAAATTTGTTTAAAACAAGATTTATGTTTAGTAGCTCTTTTACACTGAATTCTATGGGGTGGTGTCCCTGCCCAAGGTTTGTGGAAGGCTGGAGAGGAATGGCACGAGACAAATGGCTTGGTCACTGTCTTCGGTCCATCCCCTCCAGGGTCCCTAGGGTTGGCCGCTGTCGGCAGACAGGCTACCGGGCTAGATGGACCTTTGGTCTGCCCCAGGACGGCCATTGTAAGCTCAGTGTCGGTGGGCTCAGTGGACCCCTTTGATTCTCTTGCACACCTGCTCCTGGGAGGCCAGGCTGGCAGCTCTCCTGCTCTAGCCGGCCACTTTCCTGTGCCTAGTGCGGAGATTGTGGACGAGGTCCATGATGTCTGCACTAGCTCAGGCGGGGGCCTGCCTCTTGCGGTCCCGGGCAAGCTCCCGGGAGCCGCCAGCCTGGTCCCGGGAAGAGGGGGAGGGCTGGGGGTCATCGGGTGGCTGGCTCGATCCGTGCCAGGTGCAGGGTCTGCTGGCTGGGGGCTGGCAGGCTTGCACCTGGCACGGGCACCGTAGCCAGCTCATGCCCCTTTAAGGGCTCTGGGGCCGGGAGGGGGGCAGACGAGTTTTCCTGGTGTGGGCCAGAGTGGCCACCAGGGAAAGCTGGGGGGGGCTAGCCTCCCACTAGTTCGAATTAAGGGGCTACACACCCCTTAATTCGAACTAGGTAGTTCGAACTAGGCTTAGTCCTCGTAAAATGTGGTTTTTCGTAGTTCGAATAAGCGCTCCGCTAGTTCGATTTAAATTTGAACTAGCAAAGCGCTAGTGTAGCGCCTATTAAAGTTAATTCGAACTAACATCCGTTAGTTCAAATTAACTTTGTACTGTAGACATACCCTTAGTTAAGAACACCAGGTTAACAAACTGATTGGCTAGCCAAACACCTCATTTGGAACGAGAAATATGCAGCAGCAGGCACACACGTGCACACTCAAAAGGTAAATGTAGTTCAGCCCTCCTAGTCCAGCATCCTTGGAACCTTGAAAGAGCAGAAAGAAAGGAGAGGTCAATACTAGGCTCTTGGGGACTATCTTGAGATCAAGACAGTGAAGATTAGGCACTTAACTTTGTTGCAAAACTATAAAGTTGGGGGTAACCTCCGGAGTGGGTAGAGCTGGATACCTTAAGCATACCCTTTCAAGTAGAGAAGTCAAAGCGTAGTCTTGCATTTTTATGTCTCAGAAGGGTCAATAATAAAAAGGTGCTGTCATGCTAGCAACCTTTGTAAGTATCAGGCAGGGAATACAATTCCTAGATAAGAAACTTTAGAAAAAAACACTGTGCAGGAATTGCTCCTTCTCTCCAGCAGCCGCCTTTACAGAGCTCTGATGACTTTGAGTGCACTGTTAAGATGTCACAATTGCACTGGATGCAGACTATTTAAAAAATGGAAGATGCAGTAATATGAGATGTGGATTTTTCATATATTCAACACCTAGCAAGTCATCCATTGGTATCTTAGAGATGATATATACATGCAATCTGATTTTTTTTCTGGAGATTATCTTTGGAACATAGGTTAATAAAGGGCTACTCAATGCGTGGCCCAAAGGCCACATGCGAGCTCGGCGCCTTGAGCCGCTTCCCGGGCCACCTGCCTGCCTCGTCACTGTGGGCTCCAGTGGCAGTGCCTCCCAGTGAGCTGAGCCACACTGCGCCTCATTGAGCCAGGTCGCATGCGCAGGAGGTGCCAGCCAGGAGGGAGGCAACAAGAGGTGGCAGCAGAGCATGCATGCCACATCGACCACAGTGGCAGCGCTTCCCCATGAGGCGTTCCACACTATACTGAGCCAGGTCGCGTCGGCGCATGTGCAGGAGCTACTAGCCAACGGGGGGGAGAGGAGGCAGCAGGAGGTGCCAGCCAGCAGGTGGGGGGGCGGAGGGGGAGGAGGTGCTGGCAGAGCATGCCTGCCACAGGGGGAGCAACTCCCCACAAGCGGAGCCACACAGCGCCACACTGGGCCAGGCTGCATCAGCATGTGTGCAGGAGCTGTTAGGGGCAGCAAGAGGCAGCAGGGGAGCCGGGAAGCGAGAGACGTGGAAAGGCAGTGGCAGAGCGAGGCCGGGGTGAGAGAGGTCTGTGCTGGGGCTTGGATAGGGTTACCATACATCCAGTTTTTCCCAGACATGTCCTTCTTTTCACATGTTAAATCACCATCCGGATGGGTTTTTTTAAAAGGCAAAAAATGCCTGGGATTTTTTGCTCTGCAAAGGGGATCGGGGAGGGGGCAGCAGCATGTACCTTCAATGGAACATTTAGAGCCATGCACCTGGACCCTTCACAGCTACTCTGCGCACCGGCCCCAGCTCTTGGAGGGAAAAGCTTGTGGTTCCAGTGAGACCCAGGGCATTATCCCCTGCCCCGCTAGATTTTTGTCCCTGGGTCTGTGGGAGGGAAGGAGGTTGGATTACAGCAGGGGGGCTGAGGTTGCCTGGCTCTAAGGGACGGGTGGGGCATTGGGTTAGAGCAGGAGGCTGGAGGTATCTGGCTTTAGGGGTGTGGAAGAGTATTGGGTTGGAGTGGGAGGGCTGGAGAGTGCCTGGCTTTGGGGGAAGGGTGGGTGCATTGGGTTAGAGCAGGACTGGGTGGTAAAACGTCTGGCTTCTTTCCTTTCCTGTATGTAGACAGTTGTTTGATTTGGAGGTTCCAGTCTCTGCTCTGTGAGGACTGTGAGAGCTGGTGCTTGGTGGGGCGGGCAGGGAAAAGGAAGGGATTCTGGGAGGTAGGATTCCTGGCTTCCTTTTCTAGCACTGCCGTTCTCCCCATGGTGCCTTTAACTTCGTATTGATTGTACTTAGATTTCAGTAAATATCGTATTGGCAGTTTTTCTTTGATTTGTTAAAATTGTGAAGCCAAAACAAAAATATTATGGTCTCCTGTTGATATGCGTTTTAGTATAGGC